AATTAGGTATTTTCCCTCTGTAAAAATTGCTCCAATTTTCAATATGATTGTCTTAATTATAATTCCACAGATTATCAGAACGCAACTGTATTGAGATTGTTAATAAACTCATAGAAGACAAGTCACTGGAAGTGATACACACAAATGATGGCAAAGAGTACCTGACACATGCCCAGTTAATGAGAGAAATTCGAGATGAACTTATTGTGCACTGTGGTAAGCACCTCCATCACACACTAGTACACAGTACCTGTACAGGCCAAAATTTCCAGGCCAAAGTTATATGAAAAAAGTCTTAGCACATAGAAATAACATTGAGAATATTGAGGCACTAAGGTAAACACATTGGGTATCAAGGTAATAACATTTGATATGGCTCTGTGAAGTCCAGTTAATGAGAGAATTTAGAGATGAAGTTATTGTACACTGTGGTAACCACCTCCACCACACACTACTACAGACAATGTCTGCAGGCCACATTTTTGAGGCCAAAATTTATGAAATAATTTTAGCACATACAAATAACATGGAGATTACCATGAAGGACATTGGGCATCAAGGCAATGATCTTCAATACCTCGGTTCAAGCTCTGTATGTACCTGGACACTGCACTGCTGGGAATTTCTGTGATTATATTATTTTATGGGATTTATGAAGACAAGTTACTGATACCGGTACTCCACAGATATTTTCATTGCTACAAGGTTTTACAATTTTCACTCACTAATGAACTTTAGAACGATTTGTCTCATGTGAAGTTAAATTAGTTTACAGTATACATCTTTATCATATTGTTATGTGTTGTGTTATTCTGGTCATCTCATGCTGAGCTACTGTTACCTTATATTTCATATTAAGATTGGACAAGTTCCTGAACTTAATTTTAATGGCTTTAAGTTATAATCACTTTCTAAACATGCTATCTAGTCATTCTAATGTGTGTCTATTTTTTGATATTATTCTCAGTAATTCACATATATATGTTGTAATCATTAACTGAATAAAATTATACCCAACGACTTTGTATTTTGACACATATTTCTATCAACCCACAGGTAGAATTAATCTTGTTGAATTGCAACAGGTAAGATGTGTTGCTAATAAATCCAAAATCAGTTTTATCTATGTTTAATTTTACTTGTGCATACATCTTTACTTCTAACAGGCAGAATGTAATAACTGTATTACACAAGTACTCATTAAGCACTCAGAATTACCTCTTCTTGTCAAGCCTAAAGTTAAGAATATTACACAACTTTTCAAACCTCTCCAATCATATTTAGATTTGAAACTACATCAACAGTTTCACTATCAACTGCAACAGCGTAGTGTAAGTCAACTGACACATGTAAATGTGTGCTAGTTTTTGGATTAGTTATTTACAGATGCTTTTATTCTGTTTTAGATAATCAATGTAGACTTCAGCCATATTGAAGCTAAAACTAATGACATTGTGAAAAGTGACAAGAATTTGAATCTTATTCTAGGAAAGTTAATAGACAGGTAAGAGAATTCTGAATTTTATATGAACACCATTTTTTCATAAGTTGAACTTGTTCTCCTATTCACTGTATTGTATTTGCTCTATTAGAAATCTCTAATAGATTGATTTGCTTCATGTGAAGTGCTTTGTTTGATATTTTATAACAAACTATTTTGTTTTGTGATTTTTCGTTACCAAATTTAACATCAGAACATTCAGCATAATCAGGGTCGCAGGAGAGCTGTAGAATAATATATTGTCTGATATAATGTATAGCAATAATGTAACGCCTTGTCTACATATGGACATTGATATGTTATAATTATTGATAATCATAATTTTGGGTCTATTTCAAAATTCAATTACAAAAATATGAACTTATTGTATATTACAAAATTGTACTTCAAAATTATCATTAATACCTTTTTAAAATATCTAAATATAAATATTAAAATTTGCAATATTATCAAATATTTCAGGTTTTTCAAACTGCTCTGAGATAAAGAAATTTTGGCAGGATTCATTTAGATATGTTTATTGTGCAGATGAAGTAAAATAATGGAACTTCATTTCTTTTTGACTAGCGCCGTCTATAGACAATACTGAGAAAATTAGTTTCTTCTCATTTTAGGTATGGCACCATACTAAAACTATACTAAATCTAATTTAGTGCTTTATCTAAATACTGTAAATAAAATAGAGTAATTTTTCTCTGCGTTTTTATTTTGTTGAATCCTGCTAAATTAAAGTGAAATTTATTGTGGCGATGGTATTTGTGAATCTGGAACAAATGAATATGCTCTAAATAAAGCAAAGTACTGAGACTATCGCCCAGTGAAAATTACCACTTTTACAGTCTTGATGTTAATTTTGTTTATACACTGTTACTAAATTTCATTGTAGTGTTAAGCAATTTGATCGTTATCATTTGAAAACACTTATTATTGTATAATCAAAGTTTTTTTAAATACTGTTTTGAGTACTTTATATATTTGATACATGTACAATTTTTTGCTTTGAACCACGTCTATAAATAGACATGTTGGTGACACAAGTGCGAACGTGATAGAAAACACTACTTTATTACGCATTTCTATAATGTTAACTTTCGACCAATGAGGGACATTCCCTCCTAGAGTTTAGTATCCTACCGAGCCCATAAATAGGATGTGCAAGTGTTTTAGCGCCAGTCTTTACCGTGTTGTTGTGTTTAACGTTTGCTTACTTATTACTCTGTGGTAAATTCTCTGGTATATCAGTGGATATACTGTATTGACGTAATAAACTACTCTTGCGCGTTTATTACTTACGTATTCGTTTCCTGTGATTGATTTGTTTGCATAGCCTGGTATTTCTTACTTATTTTGGATATAACCCAGTCACAAATCATAACCCCACATTCTTGCACGCTTCAAAGGCAATGCCATGATACCCCAAAGAAAACTACTGATATTCTCCATATTTTATCATATATGGCTTTGAAATTGGGAGTTCTCTCAGCTCAGAATTTCAAGCTCTCTTCTGCATTAAGAAATCACTGAGGTGTACTCATCTGCCTATCATGTTATTTCTAGTAATAAATTTAATTACATAACCTTTACATTACAGTGAGTATTTAGATTTGATAGCTGATGAAATCAATGACAAGTTACAGGAATCAGGTCAGGTGTCAATCGCAGAGTTAACAAAACATTATGATTTACCTGGTGATTTCATTATAGAGGTAAGATTTCTACATTTACTTCCTGAGACTGATAAGACAGAAATTAGCATGTACATTTCCTCTAGGTGGCTCTCTCTAATTTATATTGTGCCAATCTATATGTACATCAATTATTGAACATAGGTCACAAGATCTAGTACTGTAAATGCATTAATTATTCGCTGAGTTTTAATTTTTCTATTTTCACTGATAAATAAATACGTTAAATCTATGTGAAAATGTGAAATAACAATGAAATTTACTTGACAAATTGTGAAATTAAAACTGAATATGCTAAAAACATTAAAAATAGTTAAATGTCAGTGAAAATATATGGTTTACAGTACTTTATAGCTGAAAACAATAAAAGTGAATTCTATTATATGATTTACTAGTCTGTGCTCTCTTTGGGTTGTGCAATATTATGCTGTTTACACTAAGGTAAAATGTGTAACATTGGGTCTCTAGGAAAAGATTTTTGTTTAGGGAGTGTCTCAAAGTACTTTATGGAAAATAGATTTCCATGTATGATGTGTCTTCATGGTCAATTGTTAATGACAGTCATCTCATTGTGTATCACAACAAATTTGTTTCAGGTGATAGAACAAAGATTAGGGACAATAATTAAAGGACAGATGGATCAGTATGATAGAGATATCATATTCACAGAATCCTACGTAGCCAGACAGACTGCCATTATAAGAGGTGTGTTCAGTGCTATCACAAGGTATTGTACTTCTATTATTATATGGTACTACCGTAAAAATCATAATTGAGGCTGCAGCTGTAATAGACGCTGCACCCTTAACTTGAGACATTGTTTCTTGTTGAAATTGACAAGTTTTGGTCCCAGAGAAACCCTGCAATATAAGCTGCTCCGGAACATTCACATATGTGATGGTCTAATGTGTTTCATTTCATACATTCACCCAGACTGCAATTGAGTGAGAATGATCTTGGCAGTAACACAAATGAAAACAATAACTTTTAGGAGACAACGGTAAATACAAGACAGTCTAATCCTTTACTAAAATGCAACAAATAAATGTTTCATTTCCTAGCTGTTACTCAGATTCCGTACAAGTGAGAGCATTCTTAGCACTAGCTTGACAGAAAACAATAACTTTATTCAAAAAGTTTCCATAAATACTGGAGTAAAAGCAAGAATCTTTCATTCTGAGTTCAGTACATCTGTTCGCACTATATATCGCTATCACTTGCGTACAAATATTATCACCTACCACGCATTCTTCAAGATGTCCATTAGACAAGCATCATACAATGCCGATTTTAAACTGAAAGTTGTCAGTAAGGCGCTTGAGTGGAAGAATAACCGCAAAACTACTGATCATTTCGGTATAAATGAAAAAGAAGTCCGTAACTGGTTTCATTCTAAAAAAGAAATATTTAACAGCAAACGTACCAAGAAGAGGTTATCGAAGAGGTAAGTAAAAACCTTGACAACAAACTGATGCAATATGGTTCAACGAACATCGTAAGAATGGTAATGCAGTTTCTGGTCGTCAACTCCAGATGCAAGCTTATCATATCAGTGAATATCCAGACTTCAAAGCATCAAATGGTCGGCTTTGTGCCTTCAAGCAATGCCATACGTTATCAACTTGCACCAGGACATTGATAGTTCAGAAACTGCCACCCGATTACAAAGAAAAAATATCCAAAGTATAAATATCCACTGTCAGACATTTATAGCATGGACGAAACGCCACTACGTTTTGACATGCTGGCAACGGAACCCTCAAGTACAGTGGTGACAAAACTGTCCACATAAGAACCACGAACTCTGAAAAGAAAGGCTTCACAGCTGTGTTGACTGTATGTGTTGACGGTACAAAATTACACCCGTTGATAATTGTCATTCCTGGTGGTCTGACATCTATTCTCCAGCCCTTAGATGTTGGTGTTAATAAGCTATTAAAATAATATATGCACGACGAGTGGGACAACTGGATGAAGACTGGTGATGTTATATTGACTGCAGCAGGAAAACGAAAGGCACTGGAAAAGAAAATCATGCTGGAATGGGTAGTGGCGTCTTGGAATGCTGTCCCGGCATCAACTCTTTCAAGAAACCTGGTATTTCAAATGCACTGGATTGGTCGGAGGATCATCTCATTTATGAAGATTGCGAAACTGACAAGGAAGACAATGAGGTGCTTGGGGAGCAGATAGCTGACATATTTGCCAGTGACGATGAAGACGATGGAGATTTTCTGGGATTTTAATCGCGTGCTATCTTGCACACACAAACCAAACAGTCCTTTTCAGGGCCACCACATATTTTAGAAAGAGATATACCATTTTATTATGCAGTATTTTGTACAGTGTGTATCTATTGTGTGTACAAGTTTGTCTGTGTGCGAAACTTCAAAAGAGCTCTTAGGATTGCAACAAAGTTTCTTTTATGTCTCATCTCATTAGCATATCATTATCCCTGCAGGCTTTTGTTTTCTGAAACATTTTCCCGCTGTTATCGAAATGAATGCCCTAATTAAAGCCGCACCCAGACTTTGCGCATCTGAAGTCACACATTAAAAAATTGAGTTTTAGTCAAAGCCGCGGCCTCAATTAGGATTTTTAACGGTAGGTATTTATGAAAATGTATCTTAATTTGAATGTTACAAGTGTATATATTTAAATGCAAAATGCTTTTGTAGTCAATAGTGATGCCACATATGTTTCCTGTTTTTATGTTTTGTTTGTTGAATTGTTGACTATCAGTACATCATAAATATAGCATTATACTGTCTCCCGCCAGTGAAGATGAGCTCTACACATGACTATATGTTTTGTATCACATAAATTGGCCTGATTTAATCCAGTTACTGATGTTTTATATCGAAGTCTGAAAACAAGATAATTTATAATCTAAATTATTCAATACTTATAGTGCAGTAACGTCACTGGGATAAAGATTGTTCTAAGTTTGTGTCCTTTATTTAGCATTGTTTGATTAATAACACTACTAAACAATTATGCTATATTTCAGACCAACACCAGTTATAAGTCTTCTCAACCAGTACAAATTTCATGAAAAATTATTCTACAGTAAGTATAGAATCTAAATTTTGAAATGAAGTTTTTAAGAGGTGAACACTTAGTCAAGCACCCCTCAAAAAATTATTCAAATGACAATTTTCTCTCGCCATTTAAGTTAGTGTGGGTTATATTACGTGTTTGTGGAAATGAAAACATTTTTTCATAAAATCAGTTGTGTTGTAATTGATTTCCACAACTCTCTTGTACATGTACAATGAACACACATGTTAACAAAAAATATGTACATTTTATTATTACAATATTATTTTTGTACCCTATAATGTATGATGTGAAATTTATTAGTGTCTGTGAAAAAACAGTTGAATATTTTCAAGTTATACGCATTCTTCATTGAACTTTCTTTGACCAAAAAATGTTTTTAATGCAATGTGAAGTAAATTACCCATGCTGAATTATAATCTTTTGGAATTGATATTGAAGAAAAAAACGATACGATTTTTTTTAAACTGGTGCAAAATCTATTGGTATGCCTAATAGCTTGATGGTGTCATTAAATATATCTATTCTGTACACACTGAATCTACCACCGTAATTGGGATTACTAAGAATTTTAGGAATAATTTTGCTCCATGTTTAAATTACAGATGTAATAGAGAAGCTGGTCGAGCAAGGCAGACTGAAAGGCAGTGTGGTTGGTGGAAAGCAAGATAAGTCTTCATATGTACCAGATATATATGCCAAAACACAGAATAATTGGGTTGATTCATTTTATCAACAAAATGGTTACTTAGGTATACTATAAATATATTAATTATTCACATAGTTTTAATTATATTTTGTAATTAAAGCCAACATAAAAATGTTTTGAAACATAGTATCTAATTACTATCATATTGCTGATTTAAAGACCATCATTATGTAATGTTCAGACATTATTTGCTTTGGGGCCATGTCTATGCATAATAATTAGGTAATTTGCATATTGTCTCATTTCGATTTGTTTAAGCAAAATCACAACATATTTTATCAAATTTTCATTTTCTAAATATGTTTTTATAAATCAATAATGATTGCATATTTAGTAATCACACGGGAGCTTTGCAGATTTTTAACTTTGATTAATGATTTTGCTAGGACCAGTTCTTAGTGTTTACAGCACCACAGTTATTGTACCACTCGTGTCTGACTGGCGGCCATATGCAAAAGACAGTCATTTTACATCAGTAATATGTGTTCTATGGCTTTTTAAATGGTTAAATTAGTACTCCGGCATTACCAACATCAGTCAAATTTCAGTCTTTGTTGTCATTGCTAAGCAGCAGAATTCATATTTATTTAAACAAAAATCTTTTTCATTCTTGGCAAAAAAAAACTATTTTAATTCCTTTACATCATGAGAAACAGTCAAAATTACATTCTTTATATCTTATGATCTAACGTATGACCTTTGACCCTTAATTCAGAATATGACACGTTAGCCAGACTTGGCATACAGGATGGTAAATCCTATTTGAAGAGAAGATACAAGTCACAAGATGTGCTGTATTTACACACTGTATGTGTTGGTAGATCTATCCAAGATCAGATGGATGCAAGTATAGATGAAGCCTTAAATACTAATACATGGGTTGATATATCGGTGAGTATGTGACTTCTCTGAAACAAGTTGACAGACAAGTTTGATATTTGGTTTCTAGATGCTGTTTGTATCAAGGATAGTATGTAACATGGCAGTCATATACACTTACACTTGACTTGCATTATGCATCAGAACATCATTGTTTTTTATGAATATAATTAATAAACATTTCACAGTGTTTATTACTGATTGCCTTTGTTTCCAAGTCAGTTGGTTATTTATGGAGGTTTTCAGCAGATGATATGCTAACAAAGGAATTATAAAAAAAAAACATAAAAATGGTAAACCAAAATAGGGCATTAGATAAGTAGTCAATATTCAATGACAACTTCACATTCATAACATTAGTTCATTATTTCTATCTAATTATTTGATTGTAAATTCAAGAATTTTCTCTGTGGAATGAGTCTGGGAGATTATCTGTCTGATTAAATCTGATGTAGCTTTATTACAGTACTTTCAGTGTACACACTTCTAACTACATCTGACCAACTACATGTGGTATGCAAATGTGGATCAACCAATCAGAATTAGTGTTACAGGCCACTTTTTAGAATGACATGGCATGGTTTAGTAAGATCTGCTCCAATTGGTTAACCTCAGATTTTAATCAGATTAATGGATTAGAACTGAATCTTGACCATATTTTTTTTCAGCCTCTGCTTCCATCACCATTTACAGACACCGATGCCAATCAGTTATTAAATAAGATTATGAAAGATAAACCAAATGCCAGGGTATTCTGTGACAGTATTGTAGCAAGTCAGTCATTTCTAACGAAGTGTAAATCCCCGTTTGAAAATCTAATGAAGAAAAAAGCTGAGAAGGTAAGGATATTTAATGTCTTTGATGTGCTTGCATTTCACACAGCGAAGTAATGACTTAATTACTAAAGGGTCATATGCTGCAAGTTTCTTTCATTCCCTGGTACATAACTTGGTTCAATATTATTGTCACGCCACAAGTTTTTTGATCATTTACCTATTCCCAATTCTGAATTACACTATGTGAACCGATTTAACCCATTTTTCACACCTCGTTCCCATCAACACAAACTGCTTGAATCAATCGTAATAAACATTGACCAGGGATCTGCCAGGTAGCAGGTTGGCCATCCTGTGAATCTGAGTGAACTCTTCTGAATTTTTAACTTTTAAAAACAATATCCAACTATTATGTTAGTCAACACAACATATAGTAAACAGAGTACAGCTTATGTCTGGATAAACTGTAAACTGATTAATTTTCGCTGCTGATTATGGCAAAATTTGTGAAAATGTTTTGAAAGTCAGTGACATAGGTCTTCTGGAGTTATTTTCACTGCTACTAAATTATGCTTCTTTAACTTGACTGACAAAAGTTTTATATTTCCAAAAATAAATAAACTCTCTGCCCAAAGCTGTTGGTCCAACCGTGTTTCAAAAGCTACAGTTTTCTACTATGCTTCCTAAATTAAACTGATGTACGGGAGTCTTGTTGCGATTTTGACAAACCCCTATTTTGTAGTCTGTGTAGTTGGTGTACAGTGTTTAATATTCATTCATGTCTGTTTCTAGTCCATATATGTGTAATTTCTTCTGGCCCCCAACAATTTAAACAACTTCAGTTCTGGTTATTGATAGGCCCTAAGAAAGCATTTACAGTCACCTTTGCAGTATTTGTTGCACTGGCAACATTAAGGTAGAAGCCTACTCATAAATTATAAAACCCGGAATTTATTCATTTTGCAATAAATTGTACTCCAAGGCAATATAAGATTGTTGACCTAAAAAAAGTTGGGGGTCACCAGCGATTTTTTCGAGAAATTGATGGTTGTATTTTAGTGGAAAGTCGACATTTTGACACTGTTATAACACTTTTACCACAGATGTCTATGGCAGAGATATTGTGCAATATCCTAAAATCTAGCCTTGTGACATGGGCTGAAAAAAATCATATATAGTTAATGATGGTGTACTTTTTGTTCTGAATTATTTAAATAATCTGGGTTTTAAATAGTGTCAAAAAATACAATTTTTCTTAACATTGTGTTCTATGGAATTGTTCTAAAAATAGCAATTTTCAAGAAATATTAAGATATGTTTTTCAAAAAGCATAACTGTAACACACAAAATGCTATTTCATTGTACCATGAGACATTAGCTTCATGATTGTACATAATAAACTAATGAACATTGTCATGCGATTTATGACCAATTTTGTCAAATATTATGACTAGGCTTCTACCTTAAGCACCAGTACGTCTATGAACATTGGTTGACTATATTAATTTGCAAATGTATAAATAATTGTTCATAACATCAAATAGATGTATACATGTAGCAGTACTTGTACTTCAGCATGGGTGTGCACACTAACAAGTACAAGTTATTTTCCTAGGATGCTAAAAATGCACCTGCAATGCTTAAAGAAGAGAAAGCTGTCGCTTCTGGATCCGGTAAAAAAGACAAAAGAGATGAGAGACGGAAACGTGCCACTGGTGGCGCTGGAAGCACTCATTCCGGAGTAGGGGGGAATGCTAGAGAAGTCAAGATTAAGAAAGCTAAAAAAGGAAGAGGAGGGAGATTTGTAGATGCTGAGGATGAAGAGGATATGGATGATTTCACACAAGGTAGGTATTTCCAATTTAATCATTCATCATATATTCTATTTTAGTCCGAAAAGGGGACTATTAATTTGGGTTCGTTCCATACGTCCATCCATCAGTACGTACGTCCGAAATGGCCGACTGTGTGTCCGCAGCAGTGTCTCGGAGATGACTGGGCCGATTTGGATCAAAGTTAGTATGACGATCATACATATTGGGTTGTAGGTGTACGTCATTTTTTTTCCATGATTCGAACAAATATGGCCGACTGGTGGCCATTTTGTTTTTCATGGTACCCATGCTACTTTCTCTTGAATGCAATGAACGTTTCTCTTTAAATTTTGTACAAAAACAGTATACCAATAGATACATCAACATGAACATTATTTTTTGTAATTTGATTCAATTTGACTGCCCAATGTCCAATTCTCGTGTAAAAGCACTAAATCATAATTTTTTACAAATCCATCTCCTATTAATGGTTTCAATCTATTCTCAATGACTTCAAATTGATATGTCAGATCACAAAATTTTGGACAGGACTGTGTCATTAACAATGACTTGTTGAATTTTGTGTTGACAATGTGTTTTACACTTGTTGCTTACCGATCTCAAACTTGGCATGGCATTGAACCCAATGAATTTGTTATTATAAAGCTACAAAGATGAAATACTCGCATCTTCCTGCATTTAGAGATTAATTTTTACAAAAATCTTGTCAGCACTACTCAGTTTCTTTAAAATTATCCCACATTGATATAAAGACGTTATACCGGTAATCTCATTTGCATCCTTCTTTTTTTTCACATGCAAACATTTTAATATGATTGCTAATATTTAATCATCACTCATAGCTTCACAACCAGTGAATGCAACATGAAAAATATTGTTTTAAAAAAAGATTTCTAAATACTGCAAAATGACTAATTTTCACTGGGTTTAAATTTCACTAATGTACCATTTCAGGCATATTCACTGGGTTTTAAATTCATGGTTTTATCAGATAATGTGTTCTATGCTAAATTTTACATATTCACTGGGTTTTAATTGAGCACATTTTCCAATCAGCGAAATAAGCAAAATTAAAACCCAGTGAATAATTAATCCTTTCACAGTATACTGAAAAGTATGCTCCTACAACATGAAGTTTTGTGAATAGAATGTCAATATTATTTTTGTTAAAGTAGCATCTTGCTGTCCTGTCTCCTTTCATAAAAATGTGCAAAGTACAATCTCAGTGATTGACGCCTTGCTTTTTAAGAAACCGCTCTAGATTGAAAATAAACTTTGAGCTAATCTGGTCAAATTAATTTAGCCACCTGTCAATACATTTACCATTTGGCAAATGGATAACAGAATCCCTGCTCTTTGCTTTGTGTTTTTTTGTTTTGGGGATTACATCTCTCACCATGTCATTAGACACAAGTATATCACTTAGTTTCTTCTCATGTTCTGTATTCCAGGATCCCGGGATCGACCACAAGAACTGAAATTTATGTCACAAGAAGAAATAGAAGACGTACTGAGTGAAAACCTTACTGACTGTTCTGACAATTTCATCTCAGAAATCGCTTCTGAACTGGTTAGGTAATGTTTACTGTACATAGTAAAACTTTCGTAATATCCAGAAATTTAAACCACTATTGTGGGGGGAAAATGTACATACTAATGTGCATTTTATTTGCATAATTATTGAAAATAGAAATTGTGATGATGATCTTGCTAATTAAAATGCACAAAAAAATTACTATACTGCCCTCTGGTGGCCTACTTTTGTATTTGATGATAATTTTGTTTTCTTCGCAGGCCTCTCACCAAGTCTTACCAAGAAGTGGCTAGATCTATATTTATGCAGACTACTGGTACATCAGATAGTGTTGACAGACGGAAAACACACTCGGAATTGCAAGATAGAATCAATGGACTCTGGACTAATATTAAATTATTTGAGAAAGGAATTAAAATTGTCAGCGGTAAGGGTGAGAAGTTTTCTTTTGATTATATAATTAATTTTGATTTATTTATTTATAGTTCAACATATTGCAGTAATGTTTCATGCTATATTTGTTTATTTTTGACTATATCACATTAAAACATACTATCATGATGGATCTGAACATCAGATATGCATTTTACAATTTACTGTATTTAAAAAATAGTAATATTCTAAATTAATGATTGAGTATACTACAAATGAGACTTGGGGTTTACATGTGCTTCTGTTGGAGAAAAACATGGTATTATTATCAGAATTTTAAAGCGACATTTGGATTCATCAGAAACATAATGAACATACAGTGTACAAACAAATTAAAATTGTTTGTAAAAATTAAAGATAGTAAACCATCATTTGCCATGGATAACAATTTGAAAGAAATGCGTAATGTAGGAGCACATTTCTGTCAATTGACTGTTTTGTGATCATTGTAATAAGTAACATCCACATGCATGATCCTGAGCTGAATTAGGGACGACGTCAAAAGATCGATGTCGGATAAAAAACTTATTTGCTTTAGTTTGGGGGTGGGGGGTTTTGACCTCAGTTTCCATCCTACAAAAACGATTTTATTTTTTAATGAAGTAAAAAAAATCTTGGAATATATGTAGTTCGTTTTTTTCCTATCCAATCATGGACAAAAATAACAGAAAATAAAAAAACACATCCAAGACAAGAAAATGTTTTAGTCAGAGTGTAAATGAAGTCAATTTCAGAACATAGAGCATGCGCAGAACCCAAAAAAGTATTTTGCGCATGCGTATATTCCCCTTCATTATTTCCTCTTGAACGGCCGAAGGTTTGGTGGCTGGGTTTTTTGGCAGACAACCAACTGCTATGCCATACTACTGTCCGATTATCAATTTGTATTTAATGGTGAATGTAGTCTGATCAATATGTATCAATTAAGTTTCAGTGGGGGTGGGGGGATTGGGAAAAAACTAAAGGAATTAAGTTTTTTATCCTACATTGAACTTTTGATGTTGTCCCTTACATGCCACTGGTTATCGATTTCATTATCTATTTTCCTTTGCAGAGGATCTCCAAGGTCAGTTATACAGGTATATCTTGAAGACTCTCTGTTCTGATATTTCTAATCTGCTCTTTGAAGCTTTAGCTAATGATAACATGTTGAGAGTAGAAGACTCTAGCACTCTTACACCAGAGGTGAGAATAATCTTACTACTGTAGTTTATTTTTAATATTTCCAATTTAGTTGTGCTATAAATAAACATAAATTGGGTTGAGAAATGTCATTTAAATTCATAGATAACTAAAAAAAAACACTTCCTGGGATTATATATTCACTGATTTACCAATTAAGTCAAAATAAAGTGTTCTACAGCACTATTAGCTTTCATTCTGTCCACATGTACCAATTGAACACTTTCTACTTCCTCAATTTTTTACAGCTGAGAGCCAAGCTACTTAATAAGTTTCCAGCTAATATTCAGAGCAAGATGACAAAATTACACAATTCATTGACAGAAAAGGTGAGTAGTTTGTCTCATTGCCTCTCTAACCACTGAAATTCATATAGTTATATAAAATATGAAGAATCAGGTTTTATTAGGAGAAATATTTACCA